TCCTTCACTCTAGTACTTTTTTAAATATAAAGAATTGGAATTTCTGAACTTTTTTTATTTATTGATTAAAAATTGATAAAAAACGAGTACACACTTAAAGTACAATTGAAGGTAAAATGTTACCCAACAATCTAGAGTATAAAATTCTAATTAGCTTGTTCAGCCTTGAAGGCTGGTTTTCACTAGCGACGGCGTCGGAGTCGTAATCAGAAGCGTAGAGCTTATGGTCTAGTGAAAACAGCGTTCCGATTCCACTTACGACTCCGTCGCTTACGTTCCGCTTATGATCTAGCGAAAACCAGATTGTCCAAGTCGGAAGCAGAAGCGGAAGAACTAAACCAATCACAAAGCGTGGGAACGAGCATTGTGATTGGTCAGTATCCTTCCGCTTCTTCTTCCGACTCCGACAATCTGGTTTTCACTAGATCATAAGCGGAACGTAAGCGACGGGGTGGTAAGCGGAATGGAAACGTTCTGATTCTCCTGACTTCGATTCCGTCGCGCTTATCCTGACTCTGCGTACGACTCCGATTTTTGATTTTCACTAGGTCAAAATTTCTCATGTAGTATTATAAATGGCCTAATCTTTAAGCCTCACAAATCAGCATGCAAAGCTTGTACACTCGAAACTATATCAGAAGCCTGGCATACAGAATTTTTATCATCAACAAAAGATCAAACACGTAAAAAGTAACGAGAGTAACGAGATAATGTTCCGACGTTTCGGCGACATCATGAAGCTATTTTGAAATAGTAATACATGAAAAGCGGATTGGTTATATGAACAGGAAGTTGAAGGAGTATGTTCCCGGGGGGGGGGGTACTTGGGTAGGGGTGTACGGCCCGCTTCCCAAAACCCTTACCCTATTTATGACCAAAATCTGCGATTTTCCCTACCCTATTTATGACCTAACCAAAAATTTTATACCCTATTTATGACCTGACCCTTAAATCAATACCCTGTTTCAGACCTGCCTTATAATTATTTCCCTAGTTCAGACCAATGTTAAAGGCAATGTTTATCTGCTTTTATTAGGTAGGTTATAATACTGCAAAGTTAAGACTACAGTGCAAAAATCGTTACCCTATTTATGACCAAAATGGCGGCAAAATAGCCAAAATCGATACCCAATTTATGACCAAAACGGCTGAAAAATCCTACCCTTTGGGGCCGCACATACCTATATAGCCCATATTAGGGAGTACCCCCCCCCCCGGGAGTATGTTTTATTATTGCCCAATCTCCTCTTGCTTTTATAACAAAAATTTACCTTCTGACATCATCTGGCAATCTTTTGACAACCATAAGCTTTATTTGATGATAACGATATATTTATTCAATAGAAGGGCTCCGCCGTTGACTGTTCCTTATGATAGAAGGCTGAGAAGGTCCTTCTATTATAAGGAACAGTCAACGGCGAATTCAAACTCCTTCAAAATCGCTCAAAAAACCGCTTTTGAGGCAAAAGGACGACTATATACCACTGGTAAGTAATTGAACGTTTATTTATAATTGATTTATATACGTAGTTAGCGATATATCGGTATAGATGATGCAAACGGTAAATCCAGGACATTTACTATAAAATAACAATCGGCTACACAAACAGATTGTGTGGGCCCCCTGTTGGTTCGCTCGATATGGCGCGTGATATGGCTCTGTTCAGGGGCACCCAACGGCAATTTTCGGGAAAATATCTGTTCGGAAGACGATTTGACATCTAGAATTTTCGGAGCATTTGTTGTAAAATTTCTTGCTTGCCTGCCTCTCCTAGGATTTTCGAACATATACAAAATGGTAGAATTACTCATTTTAACGGATTTTGACTCTACAAAAGGCCACCTAGAATTTTCGGGAGCCTTTTCCTGGCTGAAATTTTCGAGAAGGTAAGTTTTTATCCCTATAATTTTCGGATCACTAGATTTTCAGCTAGGAAATCCGAACAGATGAAAAGTTTTTAGGGGATAAAAATATGCCTATATCTACCGTTTGAATACTAAAATACGTTCAACAATGCTATGTTAAGTGGTTTTGAACTATATCCTCGTTGGGTGCCCCTGTCTGTTACAATAGCAGCTAAATAGCGAACAACTGAAAATGTATGAAAGGAAGATATTTCGAACGCTCCCTTAACGCTGGTTTCAATGCAACCAAAGAGAGGTGAGATATATCTTAGGTTCGAACTCGAACTTCTATTTATCATTTCATGAGGCGTACTTTTAGATGTAATATAGAATATCCGGTTATGGGGCTTTTAACCGGGTTCACTAATTGCAGATTTGTGTCAAAATTTGACAATACGTTGTAAGTTATGTCAATTAGAATTTTCGAATTTGATTTCGCTCATGACCAGTTTGAATTGCCCAATAGCTGCAACTACATTTTAAAACGTGCTTAGAGATTTACACGAATAAAGCCAGACGTAGTTAATTGATAAACCGATAATCGATAGTAATGGATATCAATCATCGGTGAATATCGATTTCCAATATCGATCGATAGAAATCGCTAAAACTCTAAGTCCAAATAGTGACCAACATCAATTTTCTCTTAACAATATCCATACATTGTCAAGAGATTAGGTTATGAGAATTAACAAAATGATCACCTGAGAGAACATGCCTTGATCTTTTGTCAAATTCTCTCATCTTATCCTTATAAGGAAATGTATAGAGACCAGTTTGAAGAATTTGTATGTGGATATTGGGGCTTAAAGGTTTAAAGGAAAAAAGTTGTGACTTCGATTAATATCGATGATTTTCCGATAGAAATCGATAGTGTTTTTTTATCGCTTGTTATCGACTACTATCGATTCCTATCGATTGTTATCGATTTTGTTACTTCGATTTCTATCGATTTCCGACATCAATCGATATTAATCGGCCGATTAAATGGATTAATATCAATGATATCGACTGATTTCCGATATCGATTTTTATCGATTAACCACGTCGGAATTAAAGCCATGCTGATCGAGTCATCTACTCATATGCTACGTTGTTACCGTATTTATTCGAATAAGCGCCCAACCTCGAATTAGCGCCCACCTCGAATAAGCGCCCATCCTAAAGGCAGAAAAAGTTAATAAGCGCCCAGCCTCGAATAAGCGCCCACCCCCTCCTCCTCCCAATCAAACTCAAATAAGCGCTCACCCCCACCCCACCCACTTGAGTGAATAAATTTTAATGAGAAAGGATGAGTTTTCAGTATTTTAAAGCCTTGCTTTGTTACTTCTTCGCGTTTTGTTATTAGCATTTATTGTTTTGTTGCAAAATAAACATACTTCACTTGCTGAAAATGGTGAAAATTTAATAAGCGCCCAGCCTCGAATAAGCGCCCACCTCGAATAAGCGCCCACTCTCAAGGTCCAAAAATTTAATAAGCGCCCAGGGCGGTTAATCGAATAAATACGGTAACTGATCGATAGCCTATGCGTGCACTTAGGAGAATAATTGTTCCTTTGGAAACATGACACGTTAAAGTAATTCATTTTACAATACGTATAGTTTAATCAAGGCATTCTAAAGCTGTTTTGAGTCTCTCTACCAAGGCGTACCGATCTTTAGAAATCGGTGGATGTCTGATTAAGGAGCTACTATTAGCCTGCGTAGCAAGCGTTTCCGTGCGGTGTAGGAACAAAGAACGAGGAACGAGAGTCAAAGACCGCGTGAAAAATGGCGCAAGTAAAAGAGCGGGTGGGGTGGGGAAGAAAGGAAGGAAACGCTTGCTGACAAACCCCAGGATTTTGAAAATCGCCCACTTGGCCTGTCATGCCTGAGTGCGCGCACCGACATTTGATGCTGTCAACAGCTGTCATAATTGACCAATAAAATAATTGGCCTTCGTGGAGCGGAAAAGAGGACGCGTGTAGGAAACCAAAATAATTTTTTATGGAACGCGTTAATGGTGAACTCTCAATGAATCCGAACGATCATTGCTTAATCAGCAATCTTGACTGAGTCACGATGCACTTCTCCATAGTTGCAATCCATTCTTCGAAATTTGGATCTGTAAATCACTTTCCGACAGGAAAAAAACACTAACAACCTGGGCCCAGCATGACAAAACATTGCAGAAACCACCGCATTCGCTGACAAAAGAAAATCGATTTTAGTTATTTAGATCCCCCTCCCCCCTCTTTCACTTTTTGGCTCTCGGTCTTTCTTTGCTCCGAAACCAGGCCAAATGGAAACGCTTGCCACGCAGGCTAAGCTACTATCAGAGTCAATGTTCTAGTATATTACAACTGTTGGAGATTCGGGAGTTCTTTTGACCTCCGAAATCTACTGAGATCAGACGCAAAAACTAAGTGGCACTTGTAAATTTTGCAGCTTGTTTTATTTTTTCCTTTCACGGAGCAAGAAGTGTCTTCCAGCATTTAGCGGACAAATTGTCTGGAACTCCACAATAGTGAGATTCGTTATTTCTTTTGGTCGCCATATTCGAGTTTTTTTTTTTTTTTTTTGAAGGCAAAAAGTGGTCAGTCTGATTCACCATATCTTACAGACCATCGGTAGGCATCACCTCATAACTTAACGGCTATTGTTGTATCCACCTTATAATCAATCATGACTTTACGGTTACCTTTCGATCGGATAACAATCGGACGAAGAGGTAGCCGCTTACTTTTAGATGGGCTTATATACAAAGGGCCTTGAGGTAGCTGACTCAGTTTTGGATCGGATTGTAAACTTTTGGCCTATTAGCTGGCATTGCCAACTTCTTTTGACATAGAAATCGCGGTTTTCCCTTTTTCCTTTTGCTGCAAGTGCGTTAATTGGATTAGCACACTATGATGAGGTCAGAATGCAACGTGGATTGAAAGGATGAAAATGAGTTTATAAATTGAATGAACCTTTCACTCCGAACTTGTGTATGAAGCAGTGAGTTTAGTATGGTATATTTTTTACGTAGAACCCGAACTTTTTCTGTCACCTAGCTCGTGCATTCGTCTTTGCCTGACAGCAATTGCCCCTGTTGAAGCTTGCCTGAAAGTGAGACGTGTGATGATTCGACGTAGATACTGCCTAAAGTTCAAGTTTTCTCCGTAAATTCCATACAAGATCGGGTCGAGCACTGTGTTTAACATAACGAGAAGCTGAGACGCTCTCCAAACGTGTCCTTCGCTTAACAAATGGAAGTACATCAGCGTTCGAACAATCATGAAAGGAGACCAACATATTATAAACGCTAAAGTGAGAGCGGCCAACGTTTTGGCAACTTTGCGATGCCGATTCGTGTATGACGTCGCAAAAGCGTTTTGTGTAGGAAAAACGCGTCTACTCGAGCGTATGAGGGCTAGGAAAATAGCCGTCTGGGCATAGATCATGTACACTAGAGGAACGATGAAAAAACAAACAGCATGAATACTGTAGTAAATCTGTCTTCCTAAATCCCCAAACGGTCTGTTTGTACAGATAATCTGACCACTTAAATCTAGTGTCACGACTTGATAGGCATAAAGCAAAGGAGAACAAACTACAAGGCTTCCTAGCCACAAAGCGACCACTTTCCTTTTCGCGCCTTCCGCATCACTCAACCGCGCATTGAAGGGATGGAGTACGGCCCTGATTCGTTGAAAGCTGATCAGCACCAGGGTCATTATGGAAGTTGTATAGCATGCTTCGATCCAAAAACATTGTATCTTACAAGTTACCTGACCGCCAACCCAAGTCCAAAGAAAACTTATAATGTCCAAGATACTCAGCAATGCAAAAGTAAGGTCGGCAATGGCCAGGTTGGCTATGAACCATCTCAGCGATGAAGATCCACTTCTTTTATAACAAACTGATAACACGAAACAATTTCCCGTGATCGCAAACGCGTAGGCAAAGAAGTAAAAACAGGATCCTAAGATAACCAGCGGCAGGGAAATTCCGTCGTTTTTTGCCATATCGATGCGAATGTCGCTAGCAGCTAGTTATCCACGCTAAAAGTACTTGTTTATTTAGTGTCTTAACACAGTCACGACGTCATTTTTATTCAAGCAAAGCCAATCTTCCTTCCAGTTGACGTTTGACGAGGTAAAATTGATCTGAATACGTTTTAAATGTATCTGTCAATAATAAAAAATAATTATTGTTTTGGTTGAAATCACGGTTGGCATCAGAGCCCCTGGTCTGTATTTTCACGATTACACTCTACTTCATGCTGCTTCTCCTCTATCCCCAACCATCGGTTTGAGAAATGTTTCCTATTTTTATTTCCTTATTTTTTCATGTGATTTAAATTAAATTGATAGCACGGAGATATAAAATCTTAAAACGTAACATATTTATTAAAAAAGAAAACGTATACTAATTAAATTTTGCAAAAAGGAAATTGATCATAGTAACAGATTAAAATGTCTCGCAGTTGCGAAACTCTTCTAAATTTGTCTGTGATACCCAATACATTCTTTATCGTGCTCTAGCCTCTTTTAATACGTCGGTTTTCATTCAATGACACAAAGGCTGTCGTGGGAAAAACACAACCCTTTTTGTCGATTATGATTTCCTATGTATAAACCGCTTGATGTATTGTTTTCCAAATGCAGGTAATTAGCGTCTGCAAAAAGACGCACTCGCTGACTCAGTGATTCACCTTAAAAAATCAATGATCGGATGTCTAGGCATGAATATCATGTTCGCTTTTGGAAAGCCTATGAATCAATATATACCCGGCGGCTGAGTTAGCATCTACGAGCAATTTTCCGAGGCATCTATTTACCGTTGTATCGTATTTCTGTGGAACATCGTGTGGTCTCTCCTCAGCCAAGCTCAGCAAGCTTTTAAGCTTTAAATAGCGTACATTTCAACTCCGCTGCGTTCTTTGCTTAAAATTAAAGTGAAACCATGATTCATTGCCATCGCGGTTTAGTGAGATAAGTGAGACACAACTTTGTAACCGCCTCTAGTCAGATCAGTCGCGAAGGGCAATTTTGTAGCTTTTAAGCCACTTCGTGTCTTTTATCTTATTGTAACATATGTTTACTGATCAGCACCTGAACAGCTGGGATCTTTTGGTTTTGATTTGAAATTTGAAATTGTATCTAATTAAGAAGGAAAATTTATCATGAAAATTCTACCGTCGATACTGATATACAATCTATCCACCAAAGTATCCGAGGGTATTCTCTTCAGGTTTCAGAATCTTCGATTTCTTTAGGATAAATCGGTATTCCATTACGTTCTCTCTGGGAAAACAAAATTTCAATAGAGATTAGATCACTTAGATCACTTTCAGTAAATTGAAAAGTTATACAGTCTTAAAAGTTATGTCAATCAATCACAATTATGTTATCCCATATCCGATTCTGAATCTGATACCTCGAAGTCAACGAAAAGGCACCGTATATAGGATCTCGTATTTTTAGCGCACCCCTTCATTGTCTGAATTTCGTCTGAAATACTCCTTTTTTTAATGCTTGATACATTACTTTCAATGTTTCAACACATTCTGCTCAAGACTTCTAAAATAAATTCAAAGTGAAAGTTTACTTCGTTCGCAAAACCATATTAGGGACTTTATGATCCAACGGCGTGACGACAACGAGAACGTCTCTTAAGCCTTAATTAAGAAGTAAATTTTGCTTTCTTTCAGTCTTTATCGCAATCATTCCTAGCAACTTACTTTGTCAAATGTAGGCAAATCCTCCTGAAGTTGAATTCCAAGGGACCATATATCCAAGTTCAGAAAAAGAAATAAAATTTTGTTGTTGCTTGTTTTCGTTCTCCATACTGTAAAACGCGAGCTTAGGCAATTTCACTTCGTAGTCGTAGGAAAACGGCAAAGCTATTTACAAAAAAGTATGATGCAGATGCGAAGTTGTTTTGCTTATTAAACCATGAGAGCGTTTTCACTCACGTGGCCATCATCTATTGCAATTTATTGGAACAAAAGAATGTTTTGCTGAAGAAAAACTCCCACAAGATTTACTTGGGACACCAACATGGCGCCGTTTCATTGTTTTGGGACACCAATATGGCCGCCTTGACGTCATGTGAAAACACTCTATAGTTTTTAGACGTTCTTGTTGCCGTCTCGTCGTTAGATCTTAAAGTCTCTTTTATCCGAGCGACGCGACGGCCACAAGAACTTCTATTAAGAAAATATAGGCTTAATAAGGAAAACGAACGACAACTTCGCAATTGGATCACACTTTTTTGTATATTGCTTTGCCCGTTTTTGCACGACTACGACGTAAAAATGCCTTTAGTAATTTTGCATTTTATGGAGATCGTAAACAAGCAACGACGAAATTTTATTTCTATTTTGAACTTGGATATGGTCCCTTGAAATTCAACTTCAGGAGGGTTCGCCTACATTTGACAAAGTAGGAGGCCGGGTAGGAATAATCGCAATTAAGACGGAAAGAACGATAATTAATTTTTTAAGCGGCGTTTTCGTTGCCGTCGCGTCGTTGGATCTAGTCCCTATTAAATGGTAATTATATGATCGGTAGTGTTTCACATGTTTATGGCTCTACCTCTTATGAGTGTTGAAAAATTCCATTTACCTTTTGATTAAAGAGGAATGAAACCCTCTGCCTAGAAATAAACAAAAAACTTTTTATCAAAAATTCAATTACTTTTCTCTTTGATGGTCTTCATCTTGAGAAGTTTCTATAGAAGCTCTCTCGCTCTTAACGGCGATCATCTCGTTATGCGCAAAGCAAAACCCGACAGCGAATCACCTTAACCTTAAGAAGTTGCTTTGTGCCGACAGCCGGACACAACAACTGCTGATTTTTTTTATTTCGTATGATTCGACTTTTGCTTTGTTGATTTTTAATTCTAGATTACCGATCTAATGACTGTGATTTGAGTGGCGCATGACTTCGAACGTCTGGAATTTCTGATTTCTGTTGTTATTTCTTTTTATTATATAAACTGCAGTGTGTTACAAGGATTTCTACCACCGAGAAATGTGGTATCTGAACACACGTAAAAATACGATATTTTCACATGTGAAATTATTGATATTTGATAGTTTGAGAACATTTTAACCATTTATCTTGTCTTTTATATTTTGAACAAGATACCGGACATTTTTAATACTTGTATTTATTTTTTACTGTACTTTGTAGAGTTCCGAGTTTACACTGGAGTATTTTAAACAATGAATTACATTTATGGGGTTCTCGACTATATGGCATGGTTTTGGTTTATGGATTCTTCGTTGCGCTCACTCGTTCGATATCGATGTGAACACGAGAAGATAAATTCCATATCTCCGCGCGACCATGTATTATTCTCTATTTAATCCACCGTACCTAAAAAGATGGCGACTGGTACATTTACCCACAGTTCTTAGCGCATGAAAACCATAAAATTGTTCATAAAAACGCACAGAAAAGTTTTATAAACTTCAAACCTAGGATAGGCAATCTTATGGCGTTACCATTCAAATGAAACCTTTTCAGCAGTACTTTCACATGGTACTATTTGTTTAGTATGTAGTTCTAACTTTTGAGTCTGTGGATGAAATCCTATGGTGTTACCACTCAAATGAAACCTCTTCAGCAGTACTTTCACATGGTACTATTTATTTAGTTTGCAGTTCTAACTTTTGAGTCTGTGGATGAAATCCTATGGTGTTACCATTCAAATGAAACCTCTTAGTCAGTGCTTTCACATGGTACTATTTATTTAGTATGTAGTTCTAACTTTTGAGTCTGCGGACGAAATTCTATGATGTGACCATTCAAATGAAACCTCTCCGCCTGTACTTACACATGGTGCTATTTGCTTTTCACAAAATGAAATTTCGGAATTTGGTCGAAATTTGCTTTTGGCTAAATTTGACTGTGAATGGTTTAAGAGTTGTTTCTGGATACCATCTGAAATGCACTTGCTTGGTGTCTTCTCTTTTTTTGAGTACCAAGAAGAAATAATAAATTAAACAACTGCTGATTATAAAATCTAGTTATGGACGTTAAGAGAACTAATTTACACTTATCCGAAGTCACTCTGATGGGTGTGAACAGAGGGCGTCATTTTACTTTTCACCTCAGTGACAGGTAATTAATAACTACAAAATTTACTCACGTTTTCATAATTTTTAATAAAAGAAAGTATGCAGTTTTATAAACAAATATTTAAACATTAGTACATTAGCAAGCATCCCTATTCCACGCAGTTTTCAAAAAGCTTCACCGCACCAGTTCCATTTTCCTGTCGTCTTTGTGATAAAATACCTAATGTTCAACACTTCCCAGATTTAGAACGCTTTTTTTAACTGAAGGGCAGAGTGAGGTCAATCATCACCTGTGTCACACAGGTGATGATTGACTCTGCCCTTACTGTCACATCAGTATTCTCCAAGAAATCAAGGGCTCCAGCAAGCCTGCCCTGCATATACAAATGTCCAATGAGTGTGCTTCTTTTAATTAGAATTAACAACAGTGTTGTCCACCTGACGCTATATTCATCCACAAAACACAAGTAATTTTAACCTGTCAGAACTCAATGAGCAACTTCTTGTGGAAGGAAAGTTAGTCTTTGGGAAACCAAAAGCAAAAGAAATTTGTCTTACAATTTTCCAAAGAGGACTAAATTTTTTGACCGAGTTATTGTCATTTCCATCAAATCAAATCATGACAAGTGATAATTTTCCATTTCCCTTGCTGGTGGCCTATGTTGTGTTTTTTTTCTTGACATTTACTCTTTCCGTGGTCGGTAACACTTGGGTAATTCTCAACTGTTGGAGAGCGCTGAAGAGGAACAAGGTTTCTTTGACATGGTGCATACTAAATTTGGCAGCTGCAGATCTTCTTTTTACGTTTCTAACTATTTTCAACGGCATTGCGTTTTTGTGGCATTGGATAGGTGGCGATGTTCTTTGTAAATTACAGGGATTCTCTGTCGAGACGACTTATACTGTCTCAATAACAAACCTTGTACTGATAAGCTACCAGAGACTTACAGCCATTACGGATCCCCTGAAGACAAGGGCAAGAAATATCTTGAATAAAGAATATCGAAAAATATTACTTTTGTGGGGAACTGGTGTACTCGCCTGCTCACCTTTACTTTTCTTGTATCAGACAAGAGTCATCCAAGAAAAAGAAAAAACAGAATGCGATAACTTGGCATTGGGAGGTATCGCTCGAAAGGTATTCTACAGCTTGCATGCCTTATTTTTCTTTGTTTTTCCATTGTGTTACATGGTTTATTCACAAAGCAAGATATTCCGCGTTTTGCGCAAACAACGAGTTGTGCCGCGGACACTGCAAGGAGCCGAAATCTCCAGGAGACGTCATAGAAAGGTTGCCAAAACTCTTTTAGCTTTAACAGTTGTGTTTGTTTTGTGCTGGTCTCCATTCATGACCACCAGAACTCTGATGTATTTTGACTTAGCACAACCAGACATGATATGGAGGGCCAGCCAGCTGTTGCTTTGTCTAAATACAGTGCTGGATCCCATAATGTACGGTGTTTATGGAAGAAACCTCAAAAAAGTTTGGCGAGTATCTCGCTGTTGCAAGTCGCCAAGAAGCAGACAACCGAGTTTTCCGTCGCTGCTGGACAGAACAAATATAGCAGTACTGGCCTTAAACCAGACGGCGGAACACCTGCCACGGGCGAGCTGTCCTTGACTCAAATGACTATGTCCTGAGTTCTCAAGGTCTCTTTTGTCTTAATATAATGATTATTTCTCTTTACCATTCATTAGTGTATCAGCCTACCTTTGCCCTACAGCACAACCTCAACTAATTTTGGGATTTTTAAGTGCAGAAAACCAATTATTTCAATATTTTACAATCTTCGATATAGAGGATCCATCCTGAATCTCTTTCACTTTAACTCAAAATTTTCCTGGAGCTTTGCTTACTAGGATGAAATGGCTTAAGAAGACTTTTGGTGTCCTCTCCTCTTTTTTCGTAGAGAGACTTGAACGTTAAGATATGAATAATCGATCCGTGAATTGGATCCGGTTACGAAACAGACTATAATTTAGGAACGTCCAAAAACTCCAGCTAGTAACCTTAGTTAAAGAATGCTTTTTTGGAACAGGCCGTTCTCCATTTTGCATGCGTTACGTTGCTGTCAAACTTAGGACATTAATAATTGATATTAAGGGCGTTGTACCAGAGTTTCCCTATCTGAAGGGTTAGTACACATCTCGCCCTTTGCTTGTAACCTCCTTGATGGTGTCACTGTTTAACCCACCTTTTTATCCCGTACCTCACCGAAAAACTTAGTTCTCGACTTAGTTCTCCAGTTTAAGTTTAAGTTTGGTCTTGTTACTGCAAATTTCTTTTGTGTTTTGGTTCCCGCAGTACCTCGATACACTACTCGAAATTACGACGCTGCAAATTTCCGTCTTCTGTCCGTTCACGACCAGGATTACTTTATACCGGCTTAAGTCGTACTTCCCTAGGACTCTTAGGTTTTGGAATAGTCTCCCTCATTCTATTAAGCAATTGCTACTGGTGCTTGACAGTTTAAAAGTTTTCTTCATACTCACGGGCTATAAGACCAGGCTAAGTTCTTATCGGCAGCCATAGTTACACACTGTGTAGCTCACTCTTATTATCCGCACACCCTTTCTTTCTTCATATACATCTTTCTTTTTTTGTACGATTTTAGTATTTTTAATTTGTGTTATAGCTTTAGACATTGTAGGGGTCAGGGGCAGCCAACGACAATTTTCGGGAAAATATCTGTTCGGAAGACGATTTGAGATCTAGAATTTTCGGATTATTTGTTGTGAAATTTCTTGCTTGCCCGCCTCTCCTAGGGTTATGGAACATCTAAAAAATGGTACAATTGCCCATTTTTAACGGATTTTGACCCTAAAAAAGGCCACCTAGAATTTTCGGGAGCCTTTTCCTGGCTGAAATTTTCGAGAAGGTAAGTTTTTATCCCTATAATTTTCGTATCACTAGACTTTCAGCTAGGAAATCCGAACAGATGAAAAGTTTTTAGGGGATAAAATATGCCTATATCTACCGTTTGAATCCTAAAATACGTTCAACAATGCTATGTTAAGAGGTTTTGAACTATATCCTCGTTGGGTGCCCCTGACGGGTTGAAAGTCAATTGGGGCAAGTATTCACTCAAGAAACTTTTAAAACCGTCGGAAGATGAGTTCTCCCCAGAAATAAATAAAGGATCATTTCAAGACTCTTGAAAACCACCTACATCAAGTAATATTAACGGACAAATTTTTACCATCAATAACTGGCCGATGAAATTTGTTGAAGTGTGCGTTTTGGGAAATCCACGAATGGCAATCAACAAAGGATATTCTGGTGTATTCGAGCTGAATATTTCAGTATACTTCACGTGAGGTGTGCGCCTTGAATACCTCAGGATTCTAGGAAGTCATGATCACGTATTCTAGGCTCGAACATCCCCGAATATTTTCATTTTCTCGCAGTGTTTTTGTTATAGCTTTAGACATTGTAGGGGTTGAAAGTCAATTGGGGCTAGATCCTGCCCTGTTTTCACCGATCTCCTGTCAGCGTGCTGTTGTTTGTATGTATGGGAATTCTTTCTTGACAAATATCAATAAACTAAACTAAACTAAACTAGGAGGCAGGTAAAATAAAAAAAACTAATTGCTGCATTTTCCTTCTTATTGATTTACTGAAAATGCTCTGTAAAAAAACGCAGAAGATGGCATTTCCTAGACCCTAAATCAGTTAAACATGTTCTGGGGGTGCATGCCCCCCCCCCGGTTTGTGCCACTTCAGCGCTCTAAGTCTTTACTTTCCGCCGTGGAGTACACCTTCAAAATCTCACGCTGCACCAGCGGTTTTAAACAGACAGGGCACGTTTAAAGTGTTTCCTCAGCTACCACACTATCTTATGCTTTGTAAATTAAGCATACCATAACAAATATCGCAGCTATATTATATTAAAAGTGTTTTCTATCTTATTAAGTTTCTCTTTATTTTCCCCAGTATTCCACTGGGCAATTGTGACCTAAATGCAGGTCGTTAATCTTTTTCAGGGGCACCCAACGAGGATATAGTTCAAAACCACTTAACATAGCATTGTTGAACGTATTTTAGTATTTAAACGGTAGATATAGGCATATTTTTGTCCCCTAAAAACTTTTCATCTGTTCGGATTTCCTAGCTGAAAGTCTAGTGATCCGAAGATTATAGGGATCAAAACTTACCTTTTCGAAAATTTCATCCAGGAAAAGGCTCCCGAAAATTCTAGGTGGCCTTTTTTAGGGTAAATATCCGTTTAAATTGGGTAATTATACCATTTTGTAGATGTTCGAAAATCCTAGGAGAGGCAGGCAAGCAAGAAATTTTACAACAAATGTTCCGAAAATTCTAGTTCTCAAATCGTCTTCCGAACAGATATTTTCCCGAAAATTGCCGTTGGGTGCCCCTGCTTGTTATTTTAGGTTCTCGTAAGCCACGACTCAGACAACAATTGAATAAAAAGACATTTACTTCCCCATCAAATTTAAAACAAGATGAAACGAACCCTAAATAGATCTAGATGGCTTGTTGCCTTCGAACGCGATAAGTAATACATTACAACCAACAGGAAAACTGTTTTGCGGTCTCGGAGCGGGGAACATTTCAAAATCTATGAATTCAGACTGTGTAGCAGTGCACCATTACATTTACCACTCGATGAGAAGTTTTCTCCCACGCGTCAAGTTTTTCTTTGCAGACTATAAAACAAATCACTTTATGAAAGGACCGCCTCAAAATTATTATTTAAAATCTTGTTTCCATCGAATCCTAATTTTTAACTGTAGTTTGGCCTATCAACCAGTCCTAAACTATTCACTTGACTCTAACAGACCATTTCAAGGAATGCGCGTTGATTCTTAAAGGTTACAAACTCAAACGTTCAGACTGTGTTTGAATTTATGCTTTGTGGCTCAAGTCAAAAACGTTATCTGCCATGTAGTTGATTATGTTGCCTGCAGGGCGATATCTGCCAACCACAAACGTCAATTTTCCGTCCGCGGTTTTCGCTCTGCCAATTCCCAACTCTTTGGTACTTTTCCATACGACCTGCGTAAAATGCCCAGTTCCTTTCTGCCATCCACCACGACTGAAATCATAGTCTTTGTATTCGCCATACCTGCAACAAGAGGCAATCAAGTCAAACGTAGAGCAAGCTTAAAATATAGCATGCGTAGCAAGCGTTTCCAATCGAGTTATTGCGCGAAGCTACGCAGGCTAACTGAAATAATTAGTGAGACTCTTTTCATTCAAGTAATAGTTTTCATAAGTACTTCATTCAGACACCTTTAACTACAAATGTAGCTGTTACCGACCATCCCCGTCTGTTTAAGCCGAAGAAGCGATTATTGACAATTTAAAGAAAAAAGAATTTCAGCTGTCCTATCTGCCTTGCGTTTGTAAAGCATCGTTCAGGGATTTATTTGGCGTTGCCTGGTGTATTGGTTGTGAGTGTGGATTGAATAATCTGGAAACTAATACGATTTATAATTACAACAAAACAATCTTAATGGTATACACATTTTGAAAGCTCCACAGGGATACCTTTCATAAATTTTGTTCTCAGTAAACTGAATCTGGAGTTGTTCTTAGTTTATATTGTTTCCTGTCCTAGTTCTCAATGAAGCAGTCTGCATATTACGTACCACATGTCGGTTGCTTTTTCTCCAGCTGTATCAAAGCTCCCTGTGAACATGGCTATATTCTCTCCAGCATCATTTCTTTCACTCTTACTGGCATGCTGTAATGTTCGAGCATTTGCCAGCTTTTCTGCCCACGCTTGTGCATCCTTGGCCAGGTCATCAGCCCAACTCAAGGGTGGCACGCCATGCATTGAACGAAACTTATTGTGCGCGTCCAGAGATTGCTTTGGAAATTCTTCTTTAGGAGAGGATGTGGCTTTACAGTCTAAAAGAATGGTTAAATATGTTGGTTAGTTGGAAAAGATTAAGTTTAAGCTCCGGTTAAAGGGTCCTACCCTAAACTCAATTAAAACATGTTTTTTGCTCGTCTCCAACGGAGTCCGTACTACGTATGGTAATTTTGTTGTTGGATAAACTATAGAACTGGCATTAAGCAAAAAAAATCACCGCATTTATTTGAAAACAGCCATCACACTACAAAACAAATACTAAAACGAAACGACACACACGAAATAAAAGGTAAACGAAAACAAAAGGATATAATTCTTAGTTTAGCGGATCGCTCAAGTACCATTTCGAAAGTCTTTTGTTGATTGATGCTGACAGAAACATTTTAACTATGCTTCTGATGCTGATGATCATTTTCTCTATCATACTGAAATTATCATTAGGAGATAAGAACTTCTCAGAGAAATATGGATATCAACTCATATTACAAAGGTGGGCTCTTAATGGGGCCTACCTCTTTTTTCCGAATCACTGGTGATATTCTTTGTCTCCTTCGGCTTGGTGACATCGCCATTCTGTTCAGTTGCCTTGAGACAGCAAACAGAGAGTTTATTAAAAAAAATCCTCAGAATTAAATTCACGTATTTCTACCAGTTATTTTCTTACTTATCAGTCGTATTTGGCGTTTTATATTAGATCTCCTTCAGCCCTGTTTAATCTTCTATTTTTCTTCTCCCGTTGGCATTTTTAAAACTATTCCAGCAAGTTAATCATGAAAGTGTTCATGCACCACCCTTCTCAGCACTTATAAGTGAGACATGCAAAGCTGAATAGTGATGAAGGTCTTTCCGAACACACAGTCTTAAGCTTATTATAGAACCTTTAAATGGCAAACATCTACCTTGGGTTTAACATTGTCCTGAAACTGATTCATGTAATTTCCCGCCGGATGATATCGAGCCACAACGAAGATCTTTCCATCATCGCCTTTGGCCTTGGCAATTCCTAATTCCTTGGTTTCCTTCCACACGACCTGGGTAAAATGACCAATGCCGCTTTTAAATCCAGGCTTGTTGAAGTCGTATCTGTCAGAGATAGAAAACATGGACATATATGAGCCCGTCTTTACTCTTATCTTATGTGTAGGGGAGATGTGCATCTTCGATTATCCGTTGTTTTATACGGAGTTTGTCGCTTATTTCGACAAAAAAATCCAAACTGAATTTTAATGCATTCTTTTATAACTCATACTAGAAACACCGAAAAAACGGAGTTTTGAAAGCAAAAAGTCTACAAGTTAATCTCGTTGAATTTTCCTGTTTTTTACGTAACGTTGAAGATTAACCCTTTAAGTACAAAGGCCGCTGTTTTATCTAAAAAAAAGTAGACTATGACTGTTTTAAAATGGCGATTTTAGTGAATGATCTTCGCCAAATTCCTTCCTTTTCTCTCTTATTGTGGCGCTTTTGTGGGGTGTTCATGCTTGAATATAGTCCGCAACAGTAGCTCATTATTATGCGTAAATATCAAGCCATTCTGCCCGATGAGAAGACCGCAAGTCATGTTCATTCAGATTTAAATAAGGGATACCAGAAAAGAACGAACTTGAGAATTAGCTTGCGTCTATGTAAGATACCATTTTTTTCCCATGGCTTTAACATGGACCAAGGCAAATGGTGTTTAGCAAAAAGAGAAAAACGTTTAACTAACTGACAATGTCCTGTGATGCAACTCCGAAAAGATGTGATGGGCTTAATCTAAAGAACAAGTATTTCTAACTTCGGATTGGGATATTTCGATCTATTTATGGCTGCATGAAATTATCGAGAAATGAACTATTTAAAAGAGCACTGATTTGTCTCATCCGCAGGCCTGTCCAGTGTCATGCAGGAGTATCGCGATTGTAACGCACAAAGTGTTCTTTTTCATATCACCGTAATGTCAAATATATTGTTTAATTCTTCTACCTACTTTTCAACTTCTGAATACCACCGATCAACGACTTCTGCTCCAGTAACGTCATCTTTTCCCATTACAGCATACACATTTTCTCCGTCATCTGTGTCTTCGTGTTTCAGGCGGCCTTCTTTGGCCAGCTGATTGGCCCACGTTTCTGCGTCTTTCTCTAGCTTTCTTGACCACTTTAACTCAGGTACTTGATGAAGGACTCGGTACTTGTTGTGGACATCAAGTGCTTCTTTGCCAAATTTATTCATCTTCGAATCTGTGAGTCAAAAAGTAGAACGCAATTAAATTAGGGGATGTTGATTTACCGTAGTTCAGTATAAATCTTTGCCACCAGGATTTTAGAGCTACTATGATGATACATATAAAATATTTCTGATGGTGGCTGGTGATACAGAAGGATAAAATTTCTCCGGTTGATTCCTATTAAAGGTAAGTAAATTACTTCTAAAACACGATCGATCAGTCGAAAGGGACCTAATTATATTAATTGCTGAGAGCTACCATGAAGTTTCAAAGGTTTAAGTTGGTCAGGATTGAGTACAACCGCCTTTTTTTTCCAAACTGGCAAGTTTGAATACCCGTCTGTTACCTAGAACCTAAGTCGTTCCTTTTTGCAGTTGGTCATTTACAGCTAAAAGGCCGAATGGTTTTAGAAACCGGTCCCCCTCCTAAGCCAACGTAACAATACTAAATGATCAGAGAACTACATTACCTGTTTCTTTAGTTCCCCCAGTTTATATGAAAGTTGTCGATCTTCAGTCTTGATCTCAAGTTGCAAAACTTACTACTGTTTCATTTTCGGCTCTTTATATATACTCACCTGCTGCCGCTCCGTGTCGTCATGGAGCATACACACGATAATTGATAGTTTGCGGTGACATGCAGAAAGGATGTTGTGTCACCAAGGAACAGCGAACGACAAACCCTTAGGGTGTTACGTAAACTGCAACTTCCTGTGTCGATACGTGTTCCTATCAAGGGGAGAGAAAAATAGACCCTACACCTTTAAAAAATTCAATCGGGAGTTACTTGTACTTTTTAAGGGTTTTCAAGAATTACGTATCCATCATTTAGCCATAGGCATTAATGAATCATATTGCAGTCTGAAGAATACATTATATATTTAAATAAGCAGCAGAAACCTATATTATGGGGTTTTCGTATGCTTTAAGCTTTGTACCCTTGCGTAAAGCCCGCAAAGATGTAAACAGGGTCGGAAACTGGTATTTTATGTGGTGTATATTTTCAAGATGGCGCGTCAGAGCAGTGGACCTTTGAAAATCACGTATCTGCGGCGTTAGTAAATGCGGTTCTTGCCGTGTTATTCGTGATGAAGCACGAGCCGTTCTTGAAAAAGGTCGGCACCGTTTTGTCATAAAAATGAGCATTTTGTCGACTGGGCCGTTAATCGCTATTTCCTTAATTCCCCCTCGAGCTAATAAAACAGGAAGCTGTAAATTGGTCTGAATTATATTAGGTCTGAAAAAGGTATTGAAAGGGTTAGGTATAAATAACAAAGGTTACATCAGCTAGGGAAAATGAGAGGTAACTATAAGGGTTTTTAAAACAGCTTGTTTTCAAAGTCTGAATATCTCGGCAAATTTAAAACACCTGGGCTGTTAATCTCCTCGGCGGAAGTAAAAAAATTCAGACAAAAAAGGAAACAGTTATATAATAACAGGCTACATCCGAGATTAGATTTGAAACAGCTTATTTTCAAAGTCTGAATTTCCAAATTTAAATCACTTTATTACCATGACTTTCTCAATTGTCATCATTAATTAATTTGTATTTTTTCCAGCAATTAGTCTGCGTCAATTCAAATTTGATATAAATTTTTGTGGTTTTTTTAATGGTCTTGACGACATGTTCATCAACTGAGGAAGTTGTTAAAAAAAAAAGAAATAATAACAGACAATTGTTCTGCGCTCGGTTACTATTTGTAGACCCGAAACTCAGACAAACAAACTAAACTAACAGTAGTGAATTCCTCACCTTTGTCTGAGTTTTGTCATTTAAAAAATGTCACATTTGTCTGTCTGTTTTCATTCTAAAAATGAGAAAAATGACAAAACTAAGACAAAACTTGCAAATTAGTCACTCTAGCATCATTCTCGTGCTACGCTATTAGCGTATGATCAAACAAATAACAGAAAATTTCCGGTAAGCTTCGAGGCACTTTTAGAAAGTAAGTAAAAGAAATGTTCATTAAAAAGTAAGGTATGAAGAAGTGCCGTGTTTTATATGGGGTTTTTCCCTCTGAAAGTGTTTTTGATATATATCTAATATAACTATTTAGTATATACTAAAACAGTGGATAGTTTTTTTCGTTCGCTCTGTTTGACTACTCAATCAGTGAATATCCTGCCCTATTCACTGATTCACCCCCAGTTCCTCCGAGCGAGCGACGATAAACTCGCGTAAGTTTCGAGCAAAATGCCTTCCCGGTTTGCTGCCGTAACAAACAAAGAAATTTCACAACTAATTAAGCAAGCTGTCCCCGAAATACAGTAATAGCCCGCGTATAAGAACCTGGGTTTTAAGAACCTGTTAGGCTAAAATTTTCATTTTAAGCCCCCTCCACATAAGAATCTATTTAGGCTAAAATTTTAAGTTAGGTTCTTATCAGTGGGGTTGCTGTAAAAGTGTATAGGTAGAAACTGCTGAATCAAGATCATCATCTAGGACATATGCTGTACCTGCGCTGAACTGCCTATATAGGCATTGCTTTATGGTACAAATAAATGATTTATACTGTATTATCAGATGATATTTATAATATATATAGTATATTCAGATGAAATTCATATGAAAATATAAGAACCTATTTTAAGAACCTCGGTAGCCTAAATTAGCTTTAAGTAGAAGTAGCTTTAAGTACCATTTATATAAGAACCTATTTAGGCTAAATTGAAAAATTCAGGTTCTTATACGCGGGCTATTACTGTACACGAAGAAGGTGACGAAGTTCGGGGTGGAAGTTTTAACGGGTAAAGCTTTGTCTTTGTCGAAAAAGCTCTTTGCTTACTAATGCAAATTAAGCTTAGGTCTTGCGTTACTTTATTTAGTTGACTTATTTATAAGTAAGCTTAAAACTAAATTTAATAATCTTTTCTACAGAATACAAAAAGAATTCACAACTCCTTTTGAGGAAATTTCTCCGCAAGAGCTAAACAAATGCCTTCAAAAGTTTTATTTGTCGGCAAGAAAAAGCGACGACCGCGGCCGTTCGGTCATTGCGCGCCAAAATTGTAATCGTTGCAGGCAACACTAAATGAGTTAAAAATCATCATTTTTGTGCTCAATTACCTCACTGTTTTAGTATATACTAAAACAATTATTCACCTCAGTGTCGATGGCTAATGGTGGGTATTTACCTCGCCGCTAACGCGGCCTCGGTAAACATTTACCACTAGCCACCTCCGCGTCGGTGAATAATTGTTATTTATTTTTTTCTGAGCTTGCGAGCGGGCGGAATCCTCCAAATCCTGCAATCTGATTGATTCCGGGAGCGGGTTGTTTTTCGCGATCTTGCCCGCTAACCCGGGAGGAATCGTTGGCAGCTTTATTCACAAGTTTGTTTGTTGTTTGTGAATGAGCAGAACCTGTGATTTTTAACCAAATTTTGTGAATTTTGTTCTTCAGACTAAATATCTGAAGGGTAGAATCAAGCAAGTCAGCCAGGAAAACCACTAAAGCATAGCAAAACAGGCGGCTTGTGATGTCGCTTCACTAGCTTTATAACCTTACGTTGTAATTACTACAATCTTGCTCTTAAGCACCGTTTATTCGACATTTTTCCTCTGTTTGTAGGTTTGTTTTCCATTTTTGCTGTCTGAATCTAGATTCTGCCGTTTTTCAGTGAATTTTGCCCCGCTAGTTTTCTACTTTTCAGAAAAGTGGTTGTCAACGATTCCATGTAGCTTTCAATCTTGAATAAACAACACGAACAACTTTTCCAGCAGTCAGTTATCGCCGTCTTATTTATTTCTTTGTTTATATAATTGTTTAGTTGCTCACATCGCCTTCTTTTATTCGAATTCACTTCAAAACCCTAAGATTGGTATCTGAAATTAGCTCTTTTTATAAAGCCTTTTTGCAGTTTTTATCCCGCTCGATTGAATTGATCTAAAAGTAAATATTCAGCCGAAGAAAATCGATATTTTGCTGTACTGCTAAAAAACAAGGTCTTTTTTTTTTTTAGAAGTTCGTCAATTCATCGCGTTTTTATCCTTGTTTGACACTCAGACTCTAAAATTGCTCCATCTTCTGAAGTTCGAAACCTAGGAGCTTGGTTTTATAACATGCGTAGAATTAGGAAATATTTAAGTTCGTCAATCATTAGTTCTTTTATCTTGTTTGACGGACAGAATCAGGCTCGGTTGGTTATTCTGAATTGTCTCACAATAAGTTACCGTATAAAAGACAGAAAACTCTCTTTATTTTGAAGAGAGCTTAGGCCTGTTTCAAACGTCGTGCTACTGCCGTGCTAAGCTGGCTCGACTGTAGCTCGACTGCAGCACGATAAAGGACACTAGCACCCGGGCACTAGCACGACTTGGTTTCAGACGTCGAATTTAATTCAGTCGAATAGAACGGCTGTTGATGAGAACAAAACACAAAAACAAAGGAACGGTTTAGGAAACTTTTAAATGTATTCTAATGTATTTATAAATTATGAATTGAGTTCGGCACGGCGGTAGCACGACGGTTGAAAGCAAGTGGAGCCACTGCCGTGTAGCACGGCAAGCTTTGCCGTGCTACACAGCAGTAGCACGACTTGGTTTCAAACGTCGCGCTACTGCCGTGCTAAAGTCGAATTTAATTCGATCAATTGAGTTCGGCAAGGCAGTAGCAAGACGTTTGAACGGGCCTTAATTCTGATAATATAAATTACAAGTTAAAAATCATGTCGTAATGTTTTGTTTTGGTTTGCAATCGATCGCGCGCGTTGAATAACATCAACACAAACGCGCCCTTCTTCAACACACATAGGTTGGAGGCTGAAGTAAAATTTTCCTTAAACTTTTAAATCTCAGTAGCGAAAAAATGAAAATGTTTTTCACCGCCTAGGTCGGTCCGTATTGGGAGAAACTGTGCCCTCCGTCTGAGTACCGCCCGAGGCCGTACTCAAGACCTCAGGCACAGTTTCTCCCAAGTCCCAATACGGATCGGACCTCCCAGCCGGTGAATAACACACATATGTTTCAAAAAACCCCTGTATGTATTAGGCATGTACGCTTGATAACTATCAAAGGAAAATATACATATATACATAACATTTAAAATAGTGATTTATTTGGTCTAAGAGTTGTTGTTTGGACTCCGAATGAAAGAAATACAATAGTCATTGTCCACTCGATCCTCATCGTGCCTCGGCAGTGACTAACAATACCGATAAAGGTAAGGTATGCCTATATTTATTATCTAGTTTATATCCTTTAAAACTAGAAAGGACCCCCGTAAATTAAATCAAAAGAAAAAGTAAAAATACTAAGAAAAATGAGCCCCAATAAATATTGTTCTATTGTTCTATTACTTCTCCATCAAATTTAAAATAACATATGACACGAACCCTGAATAAATGGTTTGTTGCCTTCGAGCGCGATAAGTAATAATATAAAAAGAACTGATATCAATGAGATCATTTGACGTTAGCTTATTTACCGGAGGATGATGTGAATGACTGCATTACAACCAACAATAAAACTGTTTTGCGGGAAAGGTCTCGGAGCGGGCAACATTTCAAAATCAATGAGATCAGACTGTTTAGCAGTGTATTGTCACTTTTACCACTCTTGTACACGTCAAGTTTTTCTTTGGAGGTTATAAAACAAATCAATTTTTGTCTTCATATCGATTCCTAATTGCCCCCGCAGGGATTTCGCCCAGAAGGCGAAATCCCGAGGAGGCACTCTAATAACTCGCGCGTATATTAAGGAAAGTACTTACAGCTGAAATATACAGTCACACTGTCAATATAGAAAAAAATCTCGATTTGCTTAAACAGGGGCCGCGAGGAATCGGAAGGTAATGATGACGTTTCTATTGTTTGTGACCGCCGCAAGTACGAAATGGTTAGGATGAGGCAAGGACAGCACATCCCCAAGGGACCGCTTAGGTAGATTTTGTGAGATTCATTGTGCAGTCATACTTCGACACTCTTTTGCGTTACGTGTTATCAGTGACATTCTGTGGAGCAGTTGTTTCTGTGAAAGTTATGGACCAAAATTTTAACGACACTCGTTAAGCGCAGAAGAAGTTTTAAGGTACGTATAACTGTGTATATATAAACACTTGGGGAGTTTACCAGACACAAATTCACAAATCTTTCATTGGAAACCTTGCTAGACACTCTTTCTCTCTCTTTGACCGGAATAAGACTCAGCCCCAAACAAGCAAGGACGAGTGAACAACGGCTAGCTTATCACTAGCAGATTGATGGACGATTACAGAAATTCGCCGACAATCAAATTCTGTGCTGACTTAATTCCCTGCTCACATATATCCTTCCGCTATAAAGTTTAAAATAAGACTAGAATGCGCGAGTGTGAATTGATCAAACGTCTTTTTAATTTCTAAGGCTTCCTTTCCGGCAAATAAAATGAACTGAATGTAAAAAGTGAAAGAGAAATAACGAAAAATTCAACTTCTAATTAAATCTTTTCTTATGGTTTAGAATAAACTATTCTCGAAACTGAGAATGTTTTGATCAAAGCTGTGTAAATCGACCTGAAACTGTGCATGGAACCTTGCGTTTCCTGTATTTATCTCACCTATTGTATGGAACATGTGTGAAAATCTTCCTTCCTTGAATCGCTATATTTCAAAGAGCCACACAACGAACAAGAATGCTATTGACCGACAATCTACAGAGCGGGGGCAGCTGTAGTGTTAACTATTACTAGTTTTTAACTGTAGTTTTGCCTATAGACCAGTCGTAAACTACCGTAAAATTCCGAAAAAGAAACCCCGGGGCCAATAGTTTTCAAAGGGCCTTCTTGAGGGACTTATTTTTGGAGGGGCTTATATACAGAGGGAAATTTGAGTTTCAAAATCGATTGGGCTAGCTTAAAGTTGAAAGGAAATTTGTGTCAGTGAGTAATTTTCAGAATTCTTTTACGGAAACTCGCCTTGAGGACGTAGATATTACAAAAACTCAGCTATGCAAGTACTTTGTCTATATGGAACAAGGAAATCCAAGCCAAGAGTTAGGAGTGAACTACGCAAACAGTAATATATAGTGTCAGTGACCCACTTTTTGACTGCAATCATTTGGCACACGTAATGGTTCTTTGGTATGAAATGCAAAAATTTATCTGTTAGTGTACAGTTTTTGCTTTGTTTTCTTTTTGAATTTGAGGGCAATTTCCAAGTACAAGCCCCCGGGGGCTTATACTTGGAGGGCGATTTAACGGAGGGCTTTTTTGCGGTACGAGATTGTTGGGCTTATATTTGGAGGGGCTTATACATGGAGGGGTTTATTTTCGGAATTTTTCGGTATTCACTTAACTCTTACAGACTATTTCAAAGAACGCCGTTGATTCTTAAAGGTTATACAAAGGAAAACGTTCAGTGTGCTTGAATTTATGCTTTGTGGCTCAAGTCGAAAATGTTATCTGCCATGTAGTTGATTATGTTGCCTGCAGGTCGATATCTGCCAACCACAAACGTCAATTTTCCGTCCGCGGTTTTCGCTCTGCCAATTCCCAACTCTTTGGTACTTTTCCATACGACCTGGGTAAAATGTCCAGTTCCTTTCTGCCATCCACCACGACTGAAATCATAGTCTTTGTATTCGCCATACCTGCAATAAAGAGGCAATAATGACACGTCAAACGTAAAGCAAACTGACATAATTAGACTCTTTTCATTCAAGTAATATAATATAGTTTTCATAAGTACTTCATACAGACACCTTAAACTACAATTATTATTCATTCAAAATATTTCCCCAATTCTGATTGGCTGAAAGCACACGCATAATTCACCATAACCAGTTACTGATGACCAATTGTGGAAGAATTTTGTGTTTAACGAGGAAATAACGTCAAAAATGCAGCCTTCTACAGGTTAATGCACCGTCAACCGAGAAGACCTGGGGACGAGGTTGAGTTGTTTTCGTTGTGAAAACTAAAATTACGGACACTTCACTCGTTTCAAGAGTAAGAACTACAGCTGGAACTAGGCGAAATAATGGCTGAAAACATAGCAAAAACAGCAAGAAGACAACTCGAAGGGCGACATCTGATATTTGGAGAATATTTACGGGGCGACATCTGATATTTGGAGAATATTTGGGGCTGGACAAACCTAAACGTACACTATCGAAGGTAAACTTAACATTGATGTAGGTAAGCATGTTTTAGCTATGTTTTTAACTAGGAAATATTTTGAATGAATAATACAGGCAAATTCGGCTTTCGTAGGATATGAAGAATTAAGCAGATCTGGGAGGGTGTTATCCACCTCGACCTTCAGCCTCTTTAGATAACACCCGCCTCGATCTGCTGAATTCTTCATATCTTACTCAGCCTCATTCATTAATTGCTAAATACTCGCTATTACCATCCCCGTCTGTTGAGTGAAGCCAAAGTATCGATTGCTGACAATGTTAAAAACTAATTCAGCTGTCCTATCAGCCTTGCATTATTTGTAAAGCATCGTTCAGGGATTTATTTGGTAACGCCTGGTGAATTGGTTGTAAGTGTGAATTGAATGATCTGGAAACTAATACGACTACCGCACAGGTTGTCGAAACGTCAGTCACTGTCAACAACAACAGTCCTCTTCAGGACTACGTTCACCCGGACGATCAAACTCAACCTTTTTAATACGAATTATGATTTCAACAAAACAATTTTATGGTATACACATTTTGAAAGCTCCACAGGGATATCTTTCATAAATTGTCGATCTAATGGTTGTACGCTTTACAGAGGCTTATTTTGTTCACAGTAAACTGATTCTGGAGTTATTCTTAGTTATTGTTTCCTGTCCTAGTTCCCAATGAAGAAGCCTGCGTATTACGTACCACATGTCAGTTGCTTTTTCTCCAGCTGTATCAAAGCTCCCTGTGAACATGGCTATGTTCTCTCCAGCATCATTTCTTTCACTCTTACTAGCATGCTGTAATGTTCGAGCATTTGCCAGCTTTTCAGCCCACGCTTGTGCTTCCTTGGCCAGGTCATCAGCCCAACTCAAGGGTGGCACGCCATGCATTGAACGAAACTTATTGTGCGCGTCCAGAGATTGCTTTGGAAATTCTTCTTTAGGGGAGGATGTGGCTTTACAGTCTAAAAGAATGGTTAAATATGTTGGTTAGTTGGAAAAGACTAAGTGTAAGCTCGGGTTAAAGGCCAGGGTTGAACTCAATTAAAACCGTTTTTGCTCGTCTCCAACTTACAGCTGAACTTAGTCCGTACTACATGTGGTAACTTTTTTTGTTGGATAAACTGAAGAACTGGCATTAAGCAAAAAAATCAGCGCATTTATTTGAAAACAGCCATCACACTACAAAACAAATACTAAAACGAAACAACACATATGAAATAATAGGTAAACAAAAACAGTAGGATATAATTCTTAGTTTAGCGGATCGCTCAAGTACCATTTTGAAAGTCTTTTGTTGATTGATGCCGACAGAAACATTATAACTATGCTTCTGATGCTGACGATCATTTTCTCTATCATACTGAAATTATCATAAGAACTATTAATAGAAATATAGATATCAACTCATGTTATAAAGATGGGCTCTTTATATGGCCTACCTCTTTTCTCCGAGTCAATGGTGATTTTCTTTGTCTCTGCCGGGTTGGCGGCGTCGCCATTCTGTTCAGTTGCCTTGAGCGAGAGCAAACAGAGAGTTTATTAAAAGCTCAGAAAGTCACGTATTTCTACCAGTTATTCGCTCATTTATCAATGGTATTTGGCGTTTTATATTAGATCAATCGATCAATCTTCTATTTTTCCTCTTCCGTTGGCATTTTTAAAACTATTCCAGCAAGTTTATCATGAAAGTGTTCATGCACCACCCTTCTCAGCAAATATAAGTGAGACATGCAAAGCTGAATAGTGATGAAGGTCTTCCCGAACACAGAGTCTTAAGCTTATTGTAGAACCTTTAAATGGCAAACATCTACCTTGGGTTTAACATTGTCCTGAAACTGATTCATGTAATTTCCCGCCGGATGATATCGAGCAACAACGAAGATCTTTCCATCATCGCCTTTGGCCTTGGCAATTCCTAATTCCTTGGTTTCCTTCCACACGACCTGGGTAAAATGACCTATGCCGCTTTTAAATCCAGGGTTGTTGAAGTCGTATCTGTGAGAAAAAACATGAACATATATGAACCCGGGTTTACCCTTATCCAAGAAGACCGTAAGTCATGTTCATTCAGATTTAAATAAGGGATGCCAGAATAGAACGAACTGGAGAATTAGCATGCCTCTATGTAAGATCCCACTTTTCCCCCAATGGCTTTAACATGGACTACTTAAGGCAAGTGGTGTTTAGCAAAAAGAGAAAAACGTTTAATTAAGTGACAATGTCCTGTGATGCAACTCCGAAAAAGTGTAATGGGCTTAATTTGAAGAACATAGTATTGTTAACTTCGGACTGGGTTATTTCTATTTATCACTACATGAAATTATCGAGAAATGAAGTATATAAATAAGCACTGATTTGTCTCATCTGCAGGCCTGTGCAGTGTCAGGAGTATCGCGATTGTAACACACCAAGTGTTCTTTTTTCGCATTTATCGTTAATTCAAATACTTATATTTATGTTTAATTCTTCTACCTACTTTTCAACTTCTGAATACCACCGATCAACGACTTCTGCTCCAGTAACGTCATCTTTTCCCATTACAGCATACACATTTTCTCCGTCATCTGTATCGTCGTGTTTCAGGCGGCCTTCTTTGGCCAGCTGATTGGCCCACGTTTCTGCGTCTTTCTCTAACTTTCTTGACCACTTTAACTCAGGTACTTGATGAAGGACTCGGTACTTGTTGTGGACATCAAGTGCTTCTTTGCCAAATTTATTCATCTTCGAATCTGTGAGTCAAAAAGTAGAACGTAATTAATTAGGCGGTGTTGATTTGCCGTAGTTCAGTATAAATCTTTGCCACCAGGATTTTAGAGCCATCAGGATACATATAAAACATTTCTGAAGGTGGCTGGTGATACAAAACTTAAAGGATAAAATTTCATATCTAAAGAAACGATTTCTCCGGTTGATTCCTATTAAAAGTAAGTAAATTACTTCTAAAAAACGATCATTTGAAAGAAACCTAATTAATTGCCAAGAGCTATCATGAAGTTTGAAAGGCCTAAGTGTCCTAAGTTGGTCCTGATTGAGTGCAACTGCATTTTTTTGTTCCAAACTGGCAAGTTTCAATACCCCTCTTTTACCCAGAACGTAATTAAGTCGTCCCTTTTTGCAGTTGGTCATTTACAAAAAGGCCGAATGGTTTTAGAAACCTCTCTCCTAAGCCAACTTAACAATACGAAACAATCACGAGAAATTTGCCTCACCTGCTTCTTTAGTTCCTTCAGTTTGTCTGAAAGTTGTCGATCTTCAGTCTTGATCTCAAGTTTCAAAACTTGCTACTGCTGTTTATATACTCACCTGCTACCGCTCGTCATGGACCATACACATGATAATTGACATTGTGCGGTGACATGCAGAAAGGATGTTGTGCTAAGGAACTACGAACGACAAACGCTAATAGGATGTCACGTAAAGTGTAACTTCCTGTGTAGATGTATATAGTTACGTATTTCTATCAAGGGGAGAGAAAAATAGATCCTATTGTACACCTTCAAAAAATTCAATCGCGAGTTACTTGTACGTTTTAAAGGTTTTCAAGAATTACGTATCCATCATTTAGCCATAGGCATTAACAAATCATATTGCAGTCATGGAAACCAAATGCTCTTGTACTACGTGATCTTCCGTCCGAAAAACAATTTGCTCGTGCACATGACAACGTACAACGCATATTATGAAACCCACTTAAAAGAGAGGTAGACCGAAGAATTGTTGACAAAGTGCTCTTGAATATATTTTTTATAATCCTTTAAGCTCATGATTTGATGTACGTTTTGCTGGATTTAACTATAATACTTCCTTAACTGACCATGAAGTCAGAATTTTTTTATACTGACCGCGCCTGGCCCGCCTTAACAAGGTTGAAATGTCTTCATACCTCTTGGCATCTTGTTGTA